AGGGGCCATCCAAACCTCCAGTGTAGGGACGGGGGACTTGTTCCAAAGTACAGGTACAGCAATAGAAAAGGCACATTGAGGTCTCGTTAGATAATACTGCTTGGGGGACTGGAGCATGCTCACCCTGTACAGTCTAATGCAGTGGTAGTCAACCTGGTCCCTACCGCCCACTAGTGGGCGTTCCAGCTTTCATGGTGGGCGGTAGGAGTTTTGTCCGATACTGAAGCACTTTCCTTTTTTTTAATTTAATTGACTTTTAAAAGTTTTTTCATAGCATTATTTAAAAGCATTTACATTAGGTTTTCATAAAATTCCCCATGACAATTTAAATTTCTGAAAATATACTATTTGTATCGCCCGTGCATAAGTTTAGTTCATGTTGCGTAAGTGAAACTAAATGGCGCTATAGTGCGACCGCAAACAAAAGAGCCTCATCTCAGAATAGCTCGTGCATCTCCCCCCCCCACACCACCCAGCTGTAACAGACAAGCAGAGCTGGTAGCCGGCGCCCCCCCAAACCCAATCCACAATGCGCGAGAGGCATGCACAGATGACAATACACGGCGCAGGCTCTTTTGTTTGTGGTCACACTGGTCAGTACACAATTAGATTTGTGAGAGTGAGCACGTGCCTACAGCTTCAAACAAAATATTGTGAATCCATATCTCAAAAAAAGAAATACGCTCGTGGCTATTTGCCAAAGTATCTGAAGATGGGTTTCATATAATCTGTTGCAAATAAACAACATCCAATGTGTTTATTGTGTCATAAAACATTATCCAATGAGACAATGAAGCCAAGTTGATTGTGAGAACATCTTTCTACAAAGCATCCAAATGATAAGGACAAGCCCATTGAATATTTTCAGGAAATATATAAAAAAATTCAAAATCGTTCAACAATCATTGCATCATTTAAGAAACAACATGCAGTGAACGAAGATGGATTAATTGCCACTTATCGCATTTCACAATTAATTGCAAAAAGTGGTAAAAGCTATAATATTGGAGAAACTGTAACAATACCCTCTATAAAAGAATTTATCTCAACAGTAATGCATCAGGATATACATGAAATTTTAAAAATGTTGCCCCTAAGCGATAGCACAGTAAAGCAACGAATTGAAGAAATGGCAGTTAATGTTGAAAAAAAACCTGATAAGTATTCTCCAAAACTCTTCATTTTCCATGCAATTGGACAAGTCTACCATTGCAGATAATAATGCTTTATTGATGGCATATGTACGTTATTTTGATGGAAACAATACATTACAAGAAGAAATGCTATTCGCAATAAATCTCATTACAGATACAAGAGAATTATCTATATTTAATACTGTGAAATCATACTTTACAAAAAAATAATATTCCTTTGAATAATATTGTTGCATGCCTACTGATGGAGCACCATCAATGGTAGGTCGCTATCATGGATTTGTTGCTTATTTGAAGGAAGAAGTGCCAAATGTTTTATGTATTCATTGTGTGGTGCACAGACAACATCTTGTAGGAAAACATCTAAGTATAAGTCTCCATTCATCATTAACTATAATAATTCAAGCCCTAAACAAGATCAAATCCAGTGCAAAAAATGATAGAATGTTTCGATAGCTTTGCCAGGACAATAATGAAGATTTTATTACGTTACTTTTGCACACAGAAGTTTGGTGGCTGTGAAAGGGTACATCTTTGGCTCATTTTGTAGCATTATATGATAGTGTCATACAAGTTTTTGAAAGTAATAATGAGACCAATCTGTGTCAACAGTTAAAAACAGTAAAGAATGATGCCTTTTATTTGGCAGATATTTTCAAGAGATTTCATGATGTCAATTTGCAGCTTCAAGGAACTAAAAAAACTCTTATAGGTTGCCAAAGTATTGTGTCATTATTTATTGACAAACTTGAACTACTTCGTTATAATCTATTGAAGAGAGAATTTCATCAGTTTCCTGAATTATTATCTATAAAAGATGATGTAACTCCAGAGGATATTGACAGATTCAGTAGCCACCTCAACGAACTTAAATTGGACATGGAAAAACGATTTGAAGATATTTTGAAATTGAAGGTGTATGACTGGATGAAAAATCCTTTTACCGCAAATATTGAAGAGGCTGATACAACTTGTCAAGAAGAACTGTTAGAAATTAGATATGATGAAGAAAGTAAACATAAATTCAATAGTGGTGGATATGAAAACCTATGGCAAAGTTAAAAAATGCCTGTCTTATATCCAAATATGTGGAAAATGATATTCAGTTTATTGATACCTTTCCCTACCTCATATCTTGTGGAATCAGGATTTAGTGCTGTTAATCATATTATGACCAAAGAAAGAAACTGCCTGAATATTTCCGAAAGAGGAGACCTTTGTTTGTTCCTTACAAAAACTGAGCCAGATATCCAGTATTTAGTTTCACAGCATCAGCCTCAGGGATCTCATTAATAATTTAATTAATTAAATGTAATTTCAGCAGACTTCATGCTTCTATGTATGCAAAATATAAATAAAAAGATAGATTTAACTACAGTAAGTTGTTTTATAAAAATTTATTCTGCCAAACTTAGCGAAAGTCCGACATAAAGTATTTGGTAAGTAATTATTATTATATGCTTTAACTTGCTGTAACTCTGCTTTATAAATTTTATAAAGTAAAGTTACTTCCCTACTTTATAAATTACCATTACTGTGGAACTGGTGGGCGGTTAGAAAATTTTACTACTAACAGAGATACAAAAGTGGGTGGTAGGTATAAAAAGGTTGACTACCCCTGGTCTAATGGAATGGACAGAATAATCCAGGTCTGTGCCATGCAAGCATTGTAAGTGATAAACAGTACTTTGACTTGCATCTGGAAGTCTATATGGAGCCAGTACAGCTTACAGAATAGTGGTGTTACATAGGTGTACTGATGTTTGCCCATTATTACTCATGCCCCTGGACCAATTGCAGCAGCATCTGGATGATCTTCAAGGGCAGTTCCATATACGGCATACTGCAGAATCGGAATGAAAGATAACCAAGATGTGAGTGATTATGAGCAGGACCTCTTAAAGTCTTAATCCAGAAAGAGAGGCAATTGGAGCTCAAGACGGAGCCTTGTACTGCCTCCTAATCATTAAGCAAGAGTTTATTTATTTATTTATTTTATTTATGAGACTTATATACCGCTTTAAGTGCGAGCACTCTCTAAGCGGTGTACACCAGTAAGCAATGTATATATATATTTACATTGCCCCCAACAATCTGGGTCCTCCTTTTACCTACCCCGGAAGGATGGAAGGCTGAGTCAACCTTGAGCCGGTGAGATTTGAACCACTGACCTGCTGAACACAGTCAGCTAAAGTGGCCTGCAGTACTGCACCCGAACTGCTGCGCCACCTCGGCTCTTTGCAAGTTGCAAGTCCATGTGGACTTTCAGATTATATAGAGCTCTGAGTGGGCAAGTGAAGCCTCACCCAGTTTCAAATATGGAAAATCTCCAGATCTGGCCCAGCTTCCAAGGGTTAAGCATTAAATCTACTGAAATTAACCAGCTCAACTACGTTTACCTTTAGCCTAGATTTAGTGCAGTATGTACTAAAAAAAAAAGATATGGAATTATTAATGTTGTTTCATCAGAATTGATTTAAGAAATCACAATTACATTGTAATGTTTCTCTTACAGGTTCATCAGCACAATACTAGCTGTAACAAGGAGCTGCAGTATTCAGTCACATTTCATATTGCATCTACAATAGATCCATACATCTTTAAATGACATAATCAGTTTTTTCTATTTACAATAAGCTGCATAAAATTAAAAGAAAATTATCCATGCTTCACCAACATATTTTATTTCATCCAATTTGCCCAAAGACCAATCTGATTTAAAATCATGGTTTGATTCCCATAATACATTTTCAATACTTGATTGAATTCTGAAAAAAATAAAGACAAGAGTTCCTTTAAACATATGTCCAGTATTGTCCCATGCTTTGGTCCACTCCCTTCTTTTACATACGAAGTATTACGCATGCATAAAATATATTACAGGGACCTCGCACGCCTCATCAGTTCCAGCACAGCGGACAAGAATCAAAATTGCTTTTCCTATTAGGCAAGGCTACCTTTCATAGTCTCCAAATCCCTGATAGCCAATCACAGGCAGGATTCCCCTTGACGTCTGAACGTCTCCCCTTCATTCCAACTCCTCCTCTTCCCCACCCATCCCCAGTCCAATAACCAAAGGGGCGGGTCGCCATCCTGAACTCCGCACCCCGCCCTCCTTTCGCACCCAATGGCATCGCCCTGAAACTTCTAAAGCTTGTCCACGATTGGTTCTCCAACCCGAGCCAATCGCGTCGCCCCGCCGCCGTTGTATATAAAGCAATGCTGGGGTCGAGGTTCCCGCAGTGCTCAAGCGTTGCAGGCGCGGAGAGAGGAGGGGACGGGTGGAAGGAAGGGACTTGGCTCTTGCACGCGCCGAGGTTACGCCTTCCCTTTCCCCGCCCCCTCCGGTCCCTCAGACTGATTTCTTTCCTCGGGTGTTTTTCTTCTTCCCGCCCTTCTTCTTCTTCTGGAATTTTCCTGTATTTGGGGGGTAAACCGGCTTGGTTTCTTCTTCCCCCCAACCCGCTTGTGTTTTATTTTGGTGCGTGTATCGCCTTTCTCCACACCCCTCCCTTTCTTGTCTCCCTCGGGAAGAGCCCTCACGATGCGCGCGACCGCGGCGGGGACAGGGACGGCGGGCACGGCCGCCGCGAACTCGGGGAAAGCGCCGCCGACCACGCCGGCCGACGGGGATGGGCGCTTCAGCGTCCTCAGCTGGGAGCAGGTGCAACGGCTGGACCACATCCTGGAAGAAGCCGTCCCCATCCACGGCCGCGGCAACTTCCCCACCTTGTCGGTGCGGCCCCGCAGAATCGTGCAGGTGCGTGAGGGAGCCGAGGCACGCCGTGGACACCCCCCCCCCACACACACACACACTGCTTGGGATCCCCGGGTGGGATGATTTACCTCATGATTTACCCCAGCCTTCTCTTCGGGGTGGGTGGGGACTCCGTGTCCGTGTGGAGGTGTCCTTCGGGCCGGGATGTGGGATCATCGGGGAGGCCAGGCTGGCGGAAAATGTGTCAGTAGTTCGGAATGCGCATACCAGGGCTTCCTAAAAGTAATAGTCGGTCTCCGGCTTCCCCGGGAATTAAAGGGCCAACGGCTGCACGGCAGGACATGCCGCTGGATAAGTCACTGCATGTATTTTAGCGGAGGAGCGGCACCTTTATTGAGAGGACGCTTAAGGAGGTCAGGGTGGGGATTGGATTGCTCAGGCTTCTGGTTATGTGGATTAAGCCAAAGAAAGCCAAAGCTTTCTTCTCGCCTATGGAGATGGGGTGGGGGAATGGAGAGTCAGTTCGAATAGGATGCTGTTAAATTGATTTTTTTTTTTTTAACTTGGAAGGAAGGAGGGGATTGCATCTCCAGGAAACTTCCCCAAAGCGGCAGTCTCATCGACTGAGTACTACATTTGTCACAATTCTGGGCGTTTTTAAATGTGTTCCACTCTGCCAGATTCTTTTGTTCTTTTAATAGTATTTTTAAATTTACTCATAACTGTTTGGCCACCATCTATGCTACCCCATCCCACCAACCCCCATAGAATTTGACATAGTATATGTTCTTAGGTCAGTCTTTTTTTAAGGGTCTTGATAAAACTTCCTATAATGCTCAATTAAATAGCATTAACTCATTCCTATGAACTTTAATCTTCTGTGAGTAAATTTTTTTCTGAATTAATAGCTCAGTTGTAGGTTAACTAGATTATCTGTAGATGGCAAACTATAGTTTAATACTTGGTAACTATTCGTATGAATATCCAGGTCAAAGATCTAGTTGCTTCATTTGCAGAGCATAATTACACTTCATTAATTTGATTTTTTTTTATTTCTGGCTTGATAAATTTTGTGCATTCAAACTCTTGGATTAATTTTTGGCTTACTATATTGTGGAAAAACTATTGACTATGTTGTGTTCAGCAATAAACCAATGAAATGATCCTTTCAGTTATGCTACACCAGTGTGGTACTTTTTCTGAACTGCAGTTTTCAAGCTCTTGAGATGCTGCAGCTAAATATTAAACTACTGTTCATTAGTTTACACATTATCTTGCATAGGAAGGGGTAAAGATCTATGAAATATTAGTATAAGTAAACTGCCCACTGGATGGCTGCTGTAGTGGCTGTATTATGGAGTGAAAAAGATTGTAATCCCAAGGAAAAATGGGATTTGGAGGAAAGTATGCTTTGAGATTTATTCCAGGGTGGGGTGGGATAATCATTTAGATCTTCTATGTCAAGAGTTTTATGTTATTTTCTTAGGCCATATTTTAATATATGAAGTTGCCTGTAGTTTAGGACAGTTTATGCCATAACATTTGTAGACTTTTAAGATGCCCCCAACTTTTCAATGCATTGGTTCACAACAGTGATATTAAGATAAATTAGCTGCCAGGTAATATTTTTATACATTGATTACCTAGGCCACCAGATATTTGGAGCAGATTGGTGTGTTGATTTGTGAAGAACTTAATTATTGAAGCAGTAGGGCTGCAACCCCAATAATCAAAAGTGCTCAAGAAGAAAGATATATGACTGCAATTAGTTTGGGAGGTATATGACTGGGGGGAAAGTAATTTCTATTATACAGTATAGTTAAAGTGCATAGAAATAATTTAATACACTCAGTTTCCATTCACTTTGAGAGGTAGAAATGACTGGTATCTTTATGTGCCTTATTTAGAAGACAGTCCTGACCTAAAAAGCTGTACAGCATTTAAAATGGGTGGAGTTAAATACATGCAGGTTCCAATAATTGGTGTCCAGATGCAATGAGAACTCTTAGATGAAGACTTAGGCTTTCATGTATACATGAAGGACTGAATGTTTTGGAGAATGGACCCCTTAGTTCCAAGCCTTTCATAAGTGGCTAAGGTTAACCTGGGTATACAGACAACCCCTGGGTTAAAAGCATCTGACATGGACAACCCATACTTACAGTTGAGTTTCCTATTACTAAAAATGGCAGATGACATTGTCTTTCCTCAAGCTGACAAACTGCTGAAGCTGCTTATTTTTTTAATATATAAACTGTTTTCAGCAGTTCATAAAAACAGCATGCCTTCAGCAGTCTATCATCTTGAAGGAGAAAATTGTCCGCCATTTTTAGTACTAGACAGCCCATTTGTAAGTATGAGTTCTGATTTACATACAAATTCACATTAAAGAAAGGTGGAACTTGTTCTTAACCTTGTTGACAATCTGAGGGCTATACATGCTTCGAACTTTCACAGTTTCTTGGCATTAACTGTGTTGATGAGAGCTTGGACTCAGAACATTTTAAAGATGTAAGTTGCAATCTTTGCTCCAACTCTATTAGTGCCTAGGAATCTTCAATGTCTCGGAATTGAATTTGGGGAAATGCTACAAGGGAAGCATATGATGCTAAAAGCAAGTCGGTGTATCTCTTTGCACTGGCTATGTTTAGGGCTGTTGGAAGCTGTGGCTGGTAGGTCGCAGTGTCCCCTGCTGATTGTGTGCCAATTCTAAACGACATAAAACTCTTGGGTCAACAATAACTAATAGAATGTCAAAGTTACGGAACTAAGAGGCATACTATGTCTTGGACAGAGCTGTGTTTTAATAATGATTACTGGTTGGTCTTTAGTGGAAGGAACCTAGATGGTGTAAGTTTTTAGTATCTGCCAAGAGTGTCTCTCTTAGAAAAAGACTTGTTTCCACAAAATAGGAATGGCTGAGTTTGTACACCATTCTAAATCATAATCCACACTTAATGAACCAAAGATGCTATTCATATAATACGTTGTAACAAAAAGATCAATTGGATGAATTATGTGCTGTCAAATTGGTGATGACTCTTAGCAACCAAATAGATTCTCTCCAAGAAAGGCATGTTTTATTATGGCCTAATATGGTATCCTGATTCATACTGTGCATTAAGACATAATATGCTTTTATTTATTTTTATCATAGCTAGTCTTGTAAACATTGCTTTAGTTTTGTGTAATGAGTTGTTTAGTAATTTCTTTAATGTATTGGTGTTTTGAAATGAATGTTGCCTTTTGCACTGCTGGAGTTCATAAACATGCTAATTCATTAGTAACAAGCAACAGTGCCTAAACCAAAATCAAACCGTATCTTGGCATATTTTGTGAGCCCTGCCCATTGTATTAAGTTGCATTATACGATTTTTTTAGTTTACATTGCATAACTACTGCTTGTTAACTATGATTTAGGTTTTTAGAATGTATGAATGAAGCCACTCTGTAGCATGCCTCAGCCATTGTTTTCCAACAGTCAGCTAGACATAGGAGAGGATTGTACTAGATTCCCCACTACAATTCTACAGAGCTTTTCCCTCCCTTTCAGCAAAAGTGAAAGAGAACAGTTCGTTCTCACATTTGGCTGCAACAATCCCTAGTTAAAAAAAAAAGTTGCAGTTTATTTATGCTGTGCTGGCAAAGTTTTTACTCATGGAAAAAAAGAATGAAAAAGAGGTAAATGCCTAGTGGATTTCTTGTGGATTGCATAAAAGCAGGAATGAAATCAAAGTTAAATTCCTGTCGATCACTTGTGCCCATACTGTAGAAAGGGTGGCCTAAGCTTTTCTAAGTTGTCACTACAGATCAGCTGTTCAGAAGCTTCTAACCTTTTTGGAGGGGCTTCACAGACCCTGGGGAGACGTGTGCCTTGCTTTTCTTGTAGTCAGCTATTTCAGGTCACCTTTCCATTCCAAAGAACTCAGTACTTTGCTAATTCATGTGTGAAGGCTAGTGCTGCAGATTTATTGGAAGATGGAAATCCCTACCAGCTGTGTTTTCAAAAGAAGAAATGCTGAAAGGCAAATATTTGGATTTTTGTGGGACCTGAGTAAAACAAGTTTCCAACAATGAAAATGGGTTGACCCTTTTGCAATATGCTATATGGTAGTGATGGCGAACCTTTTAGAGACCAAGTGCCCCAAAACTGGCCCCACCCCCATTCTACCCTCTGCCCTGCCCCGCTCCCACCCCATCTCCCATCCTGCCTGCCGCAGGTCCACTCACCACCTCCAAGACCTGCCGCAGATCGCCCAGGCAGCCCAGCAGCGCCATGGCAGCCACGCCCTCTGCCTGCCCCCTGCAGCATCAACTGTGCGCGATGGGGCGTGAGAGCAGAGTCTTGTCTACGCTGCCTGGCTGCCATGTCCTTGGCTGTGCTGCTTGGCGTGGGCCACGCTCGGGGGCGACTCTTCTCCAGGGGGGCTGCTGGTGAGGAGGGGGTCACAGGGGAGGCGAGGCATGTGTGCCCACAGAGAGGCTCCGAGTGCCATCTCTGGCAAGCGTGCCATAGGTTCGCCACCACTGCTATATGGGATATAACCAGTTACAACAGTGGTTCTCAACCTTTCTAATGCCGTGACCCCATAATACAGTTCCCCATGTTGTGGTGACCCCCAACCACTTATACATCACCGGGTGCCAGGGGCGTGGCCAAAGAAAAGAGGGAAAAAATGGTGGACAGCCTTGTTTGGCGACCCCCGTGAAATGGTCGTTCGACCCCAAATGGGGTCCCGACCCACAGGTTGAGAACCACTGACTTACAAGAACCAATTCCCAGAATTATTAACTAAATTCTTCCTTTTTCATACTGCTCTTATTCATCTTCTTTTTCTCATAGGTAAATCTATGCTGTAGCTTTCCATCTTAATTTGTAAGAAAGTTCATTTGAGACCCCAATGCATTTTTTGCACCAGAAAAAGATTATGGGGCTATTCAAGCTTTTGGGCAGGGAGGCATAAATGTAAATTACCATGAAAAACAAATTAGCTCTTTCTTGGAGTTCATAATACATTTGATGAAGCTATTTAAAGTTGTATGTTGTACTTTGACCTAACTAACTTGCATGGTGATTGGCCTCTCACTTGGTATTCTGCAATCTGCTTATTTAGAGCTTGGAATCTGCTAGTAGAAAATAAATCCGCTGATGAAGGTGGTGTCTGGTCTTTTGACCCTGGCTGTATGCCATTAGGGTTTAGGATTCTCTAGTTAGATGCGAAAGTCAGTCTTAGTATAGAACAAAAATGAAAAAAAAGTGAAAAGTTCTCTGGTCATTAATGACTGGCATATAGGACTACTACACTGTCTTTAAGTAAAACACGAAGAATTTTATAGAGAGAATTTGGTAAAGGCACGTACATTTCTTTCTAAATTTTGGTTCTTTAGTAGAGAATCTTTGGCTAGTAAACCTGTGATGCCAATAAAACTGTAAAAGAATGTTTAGGATTAGGAAGTAAGAAAAACCTGGATAATGGTACACATCCAGAGATATTAATGGTAGATAAGAAAAGATGCTGTAGCAGCCTTCCCCAGTCTGTGCACCCTGCAAATGTGTGCAGCCTTCCATTCAAACTTTTAACAATTTTTAGTAGGGAAAGACTGGTCTACTGAATCTACTGTATAAATCACTTTGATGGACTATCATAGTACTGCACAGGTAGTTCTTGACTTACAACCATTCATTTAGTGACCATCTGAAGTTACAGCAGCACTGAAAAAAAGTGACTTATGAACATTTTTCACACAACTATTGCCGTATCCTTATGGTCACATGATCAAAATTCAGGTGCTTGGCAACCAGCATGTATTTATGATTTATGATTGATAGAGTCATGTGATTATCATTTGCAACTTTCCCAGCCAGTTTCCCAACAAGCAAGGTCAATGGGGGAAGCCAGATTCGCTTAATGAACCTGTGATTTACTTAACAACCATGGCAAAAATGTTGTAAAATGGGTACAACTCATTTAATAACTTGTCTTGCTTAGCAACAAATGTTTTAGCCTCAATTGTGGTTATATGTCGAGGAGTACATGTAACCATGTCAGATAATTTAGCTTAGGTCGGGTAGGGAACCTTGGCTCTTTTATGACGTGTGGACTTCAACTCTCAGAATTTCTGAGTCAGCATGGCTGGTTCAGGAATTCTGGATATTGAAGTCCTTAAGTCATAAAAGAGCCAAGGTTCCCTATCCCTGGCCTAGGTTAATGCTTATTTTCCCAAAGCCTCTGGCAGAATATCCTAAGTTTATATATCAGTTACATTTCTGTGGATTATAGAATAACTCCAAGGGTGGGAACAGCATAAAGCTAGTTTGGGAGATTGATGAGGTAGTACTTGTCTTGGGACCAGAATTTCCATTGTTAAGCAAGATGATTGTTAAATGAGTTGCTCCTGATTTTATGACCTTTTCAACACATTATTAATGAATCATTGCAGTTGCTAAATGAATCACATGGTCAGTAAGTGAATCTGGCTTCTCCCATTGACTGCTTGTCAGAAGCCGGCTGGGAAGGTTGGAAACGACAATCACATGATCCCAGGATGCTACAGCTGTAGAAAATACTGGTTGGCAAGCACCCCATTTTTTTTTATTTAAAAGTTTTATAAATTTATTACAATATAAAACCCCCCTCACCCCTTCCCCCCTCCCCCACTTCCCAGAGCTGATTACAGGGTAAAAAATAAAATAAACAAACATAATCTAACTAACATAAACCAACTATACTATCAATCAAAACCATAACACACTTTAACTCCTTCTCCCAACAAATATTAACAAATTAAGTCAAAAATAATAAAATAATTAAAACTAATAATAATTATCTAAAATCTACTCAAAAGCAAGATAATACTTTTCAATCTCATATTTCTTCTGAATGTAATCAATCCATCTTCTCCACACCATAATATATTTTTCTTGTGAATGATCCTTCAAATAGGCGGAGATTTTCGCCATTTCTGCTAAATTAGACACTTTAAGTATCCATTCTTCCAAAGTAGGCAATAAGTTTTTCTTCCAATATTGTCCCACCAATAATCTTGCAGCTGTTATAAGGTTCAACATCAAATTAGTTTCTTTAACATCAAAATCTACAATAATACCCAACAAAAACAATTGCGGAGTAAACTTTATCTTCTTCTTAAAAATCTTTTGAATATTCCACCAAATCTTAATCCAAAAAGCTTTAATATCTCTACAAGTCCACCAAATATGAAAATAAGTTGCATCTAAATTTCCACATCTCCAACATTTGGGCTGTAAATTCGGATACATGCGGGACAACTTTTGGGGATCCAAATGCCATCTATAAAACATTTTATAAAAAATTTCTCTTAAATTTTGCGCCTGAGTGAATTTTACATTTCTAACCCAAATTGTCTCCCATGTATCCAATAAAATCGGCTCTTGAATATTTTGCGCCCATTTAATCATACAATCTTTAATTAATTCTGTTTCAGAATCCAATTCTATTAAAACATTATAAATTCTTTTTATATGAGTTCGACTTTGATCTTTATTCTGTTTTACTAAATTCACATCCTCTAAAGTGATACCAACCTTTTGATCTAAACTCCACCTCACTAACAATTGATTATAATGAAACCAAGAGTTGCACATCAGTTAATGTCACCTTTTTTAACATCTCTAGCAAACATCAACTTTTTTCTCTTTTCAGTCACTTTTGGGTTAATGAAAAGTGTTAACTTACAAGCATAATAGGTACAAAACAATTTGCTCACCATTTCATTCACCAGCTTGGACTTTTCTGGAAAGGTAAAATTGTAAATGTCACTGCTCAGGGTAGGGTGGATTTTTAATGTGCTTATTAGAACTGGAAATCTACAATGTACTCTGAGATGAGAACAGCCTGGAGCAGATTACTGTTTGCTTGATAACAGTTCAGTTGAACCTTTACATTGACTTTAGAACAGCTAGCCATTTATAGCCTTAGTATTTGCTCTCAAGTGTATCCTGTCTTGGCAGGAAGTGAGTCTCTGCGCGAGCGCGCGCACACGCACACACTCAAAATGAATTGCCTGCATATTAAGGAACTAGGAGCTATGTAGGGTTTTGTATAAATCTTAAGGATAGCCACATTACTTTTTCTTGTTGTTGCTTCCATTGCCTTCCTGTTCTGTGCTTTTCCATTATTTCACCAGAACTCAAGAATTCTCATATTTACTCTTTGGAATCTGAAAAATTAGACTAATTTTAGACTGAAAACTTAGATTAAGAGAAGGTAGCTAGTCTAAATTTTATTCAACAAGCTTTGTGGTTACATGATTTGAAGATTCTTTGATTTTATTCCAGCACTGTAACCATTACACCACATGGTCTTGCATATGATACTTCTTTACCTAGAGATTACATAACTTTGTGACATAATACAAATCCATGTTCATTTACATTACTTTGGAATACTCTTTCTATACTTCATTGGAAGTAGACCTCCATGGATACACAGGGACACAAATTTATACTTGATGCTTATTATTTCTGCCCATTGAGAACCTGGACCAACTGCTTCCAGTACAGTCCATTTGCCCTTAAATAGCCTACTCGGCTCTGTGTCATCATTGCCACAAATTACTAAGGATTTGTTTGTCTATAAAGTAGCAACACTGCTTAGTAGGCACTAATGTTGTGCCAAAAAGCTGCTTGCATATTCATTTTATATGGGAGGTGGCTTCATTCCTCTGCAATGACTCAGATGTAACAAGGCACATTGGGTTCTATTTTTTTAAAAGCATTGAACAAAACTTGTTGCCTTTCACTACAATAATTGCCAGGAGCTGAAGTGTTTCCATGGGAAGTGCATGCTTGTACTCACATAATGTATTATATGAAAATTACACATTCTGTACTAATTGTATTGCCGAACTCTAAATTAGGGCAGTTCTTTCATACAGAGATTTTCTGGTTCTATCTTTTGAATCACATACTCCAGCTGTAAAATATGTGCATGAAAAATATATCTAGATTAAAATCTATCCTTAGACATGGGAAGTTATTAGCTGGTATTAAGAGTAGTCATTGTATCTTAGTCCAGTCTATCCTACTTAGTTGTATTTTTGGGGGGGGGGGATGCACAAGGAAGTGCTATGTGTGCTATCTTGAGCTTCTGGAGAGAAAATGAGTTAGGAATGCAATAAAGACATTCATGTTAGTGTTTTTGTGCTAGTTTTATACTTGCTTCAATCATTAATTAGACATTGTCTTTTATTATAAGCCTCCCAGTCATTTAGGTGAGATGGGCAGTGTAGAAATCTGATGAATAAATAAATAGGCGCTGCAGAACTTGAAATTCTGAAAAAAGGAGAGTCACAATGACT